ATTCCTCGAGCACACTAGAGGTGGTGCAGTGAACATCCAGGCATCTGTTTTGCATTTTCGGAGTTTACCTCATGTCTTCTATATTGCCACAGGTTACAGCTTCACCGAGTAGTGTTCATTGAGCTGCAAGTCATATCCGTTAGAGCAGTTTCTTCGAATGATTGCATAGAGCTTTGGGTACGTTTGCGCACTTTCTTCTTCGCCAATGTACCAAGTGCGCGTTGAGTGCGACAGCGGCTCACAGCTCGGCAAGCCTCGAGATTACTCTCCCTGCCGTAACATTTGCAATCATTTGATCTTCTCAGGTTTTTGTTTATTGTCGCATTTTCTTTCTTGCGCTATTTTGGGTTTCGACGCACCATCTTTCGAAACGCTAAAGTCTTCAACCACGGAAAGTTTTTCCTGGCGGAACGGGCGACCCAAAGAACATGAAATAGGGGCACCTCTATGCAAATGAGCAGGTTGGCACATAGCGCATCGTGCAAGGAAACATTTCAAAACGCACTTGCCACGTTACCAGAGTAAACCACGCGCTTGCAGGCGCCTGTTTCAAGCATGGTACCTCAAGCGTTTGGAATGGACAAATGGATTTTCATGTATCTCTTTCTTTTTTGCTAGACATCTGCGCTGATCGGGGCGTGCACTACGGTCGCCGCCAGCGTGTGGCGCCCGTTCCTCCGTGTGTAAGTTTCAACAGTCAAACATTTATCTACAATTTTTCATATTTTGGGTATTTTTTAATTTTCTGTCTCGTCAGAGACGTTTCTCCTGCGAGGTACTGATTCCTTAGAAAAATGGGGATATACCCCTTCACGTTTGCACTTACGTGCAAAGGGAATCAACTGCTTTATTGCGCAGTGGATTGAGACTTCATGAGATGACATGATTTAGAAAAGTATGCTGAACGCGCAGGAGATGAGCCGCATGTGCCACATTGTCACTGAAGAAGAACCTGCCCTCTGTCCTTTGTCTTGACCCATACTGATTGTTCAGCGACGCCGTACGTTTGTCAGAAAAAGCTGAGTGACTTGTGTATGATCGCGTATCTTGCTACGTTAATTACATGAAAAGGCTATTCAAGAAGCTTCCGCATCGTCAATGTGTCTAATTAGCCATGAATACACGTGTTCCTCTGATCCGTATCTACCTTCAATGTTCATTCTACGCATCCGGGTGAGGCCAGACACACAAGCTTTCCAAATTTAAGCAAAGAGAATCAGCATATCGTCATGCCTACGATTTCGCACGTTGTTTCCTCATGCTCAATTTCCGTAGGAAAACGGATAAGAACAAACAATGGAAATAGCTGCCTTTTGCAAAATCCAAGATTTCTTTATACCACCATAAAAGAGCTAAAGGAAATATTTTGGGAGAAAGCATGAATGCGACCGCTTCGCAGTAACATCCCTCTGTTTCAAACGTTGCTGATCAGGCTTGTAACGTGGCTGCTACCCCTACGAAAAAGAGCTTCAGGGTTCATAAACCTTGGAAATATCATAGTGATGCATGGAAGCTGCAAAGAAGAAACGGGGAATGGAAGCATCCCGCAGTAACACCGCCCAATTGCTAGTGGCCTCTTTGTCAAAACAGAGGGTTTCTCTTCTGACTGGACAA